TGGAGAATGGCATAGGTTATTTTATATCCTGGTCAGTGAATACATTTCGATCACGCAGACGCAGACCTGAGTACAGTTGTTATATTCTTTTTATATCACTGAGGTAGCAAACAAGCATACGACCCACCTGATGGAAAGTAGTAACCGTTGCCTATAGACATGAGCAGTACCATGAACATAACAGAGTATACTGTTTCGCCCATAATACCCCCCATGCGTTGCTATTCCTGAGGACTCAGGTGTTATTTCTCCGTACCCAGTAAATTCACGCTATATCCCACTCTTCACACCGAAACACAGCCATGCAAACACAACTGCTTCACGGTTGAAACACGAATGGGACAGAGGTGCCCAAGCAATCAACTTTTGTACAAAGTCTCCCTCTAGCGTGTGTTGCTGACTCGGAAGAAACAAGGATTGTATCTTACAAATGTGACTCATTTTATATTTAGATAATTATTACAATTTCTTCCTATAGATACGAGTACATATACAACGGGGTTTACAAATGATCGGCTCTCGACAGCAAACAACATAATATTTTATTGAAATCACTTAGCCATTAGCCATTTCTATGTTATTAATGGTTACACTGCCAATAACTGATCTGTTTTGTTTTCTAACTTACTCCTTCTTTGTTATTATTTTATTCTATATTTAGTACTATTAATCCCGATAGAATAGTAATGACTTAATTAATGTCGGCCTCTACAAATAGTTAAGCTAAGAAAAATTATACTATTTAAGTTTTTTTTTTATGGGTGAAAATGGTATGGTTAATGGGATATGCTGACGGAGCACCAGTGAAGGGTGATAAATGAGAATGAAAACAGGCCAGTTAGCCTATCATGACGAATTTATCAGGAATTAACCATGATAGTTTCCAGGGGGTACCGCAAGGAGGTCGACCTGGTTGGGTATATTGTTAGCAATGGGATTCTCAGTCTCCATTACTAACAATCTCTTTCCCCCCCAAACTATATAAGTATTACTAAAGCCAAATTGAGAAAAATATACTACAGGATGAAATCAAAATCATTAGTGTTTTTTATTTCTAATTAAATTAATGGTATTAAAAAAAAATCCCCGAGTAAACATGGGTCGAAAAAAAAAAACTAAAAATTTTAGATTTTTTATACTAACTTAACAATTGAGCATGCCGTGTTAGTGTGGGTAAATCAAAATTTGTTATTATTTCATTCTATATTTAGTACTATTAATCCCGATAGAATAGTGACGACTTATATAATGTCGGCCTATACAAATAGCTAGCAAAGAAGTGTTATAAAATTGAAATTCATGCTGGATTATTTATTATATTATTACATATATAATACAACTTCAAACTTATATACCTTAATATCATCGGAATATTTTAATGACATTTCCTCATTGTGAAACTAGTTCGAGATTAAGTGTCGTTACCTCGCTAACTTTATTTGTAATACTCCAAAGTCTTTCATTTCATTCTGTCGTAATTTAATCAAACTATATTACAATATATATGCCTAATATATGTATATATATATATATCCTACATATTACTGGCGGATGCCTGTTATATAATTTACGTAGATTATGACTGCTAATTGTTCTATGGTATTTCAGCGATGTGACAAATTACATTTAAATCTATTCAATCGTTCAGACATGACTGAATAATAAACACTTTAAGATCAAAACATTGTATAATCTACATAAGATTATCATTTATAATATTAGTGATAGCGTATATATAAACAAAATATAGATAGATAATTTTATTTGCATTATTTATAGCACACAAATTACAACATACATACACAAAAAAATCGAGATAACAAAAAAAATACACAAAACCAAATGCAACTTTCATTTGTGAGTGTGCTATAGCTGGTTTAAAAGATGGTTTATTAATCACTTTTACTGTAGTTATGTAAAGGTAAGAGTACATGATGTAAAAATACTAACTATATTATATTAAGGTAGCGCATGTTATATTGAACTCGAAGTATACATCATCATACAGTAACATAGTATTTATTTGTCAAATTTCAAGAATATTTCAAGCATTTTTTAATATTCCCGGTTGGTGATTATTTCATTATTACAGCATTTTTTTAACTAATCAATCAAAAATGTTTAAAATTTACAATTATTTTTGAAAAATGAACGGTTAATTTTGACATTATCGAGGTGATTATTTAAGAATAATCATGACAATTTGAATGGCATTTCATGTTCAGTTTGTAATAGGATTATAACGGGGTCTTGAGGAATTTTATAACACGAATACTATAATAGTTAGCTTGGAAAATCTGTACTTAACATCGAATTATATATAATGGAAAAGGCGTAACATAACACGCAACTTGAACTATTCCACACCACAAAAATATATATCTTTATGTACATGAATTAAATAGGCACAATTCCAGTCGTTACATAACACAGTTTTATCTTTAAATTTAACTTAAATGCGTGCTTGGTAAAAAAGAATGATGATATCCCTGCATTTGGACACACTTCAGTAGATAAGGGGAAAATAAAATTAAAATATGCTACGATTTAAAATACTCGATTGCAGATATATGGTGTAAGACAGGTACAGGTTTTTTACTGTAAATAATCAATACAAAATGCAATAAATAAGCACAAAAAATATACAATTTTTAATGGCTTCCTGAAGAAAGAGATTCTTAATTAGTGAGATTATGATTTTAAGCCAATTTTAAACTGATTTTCAGTATTATTTTTTAGTCGAGATAAACCCTCTTTAGAATAAAAAAAACTTTTTTAAAAGCAATTTTTGTTCGCAAACATACGTAAAATACGTTCTAAATTCAAATATATAAAATCTATGTACGAATATTTACGAAAAATGTCGTCATTTATCGATATTCATGGTTTAAGTCGCTGTTTTTGCAGAATAAAGTGTACTTGTTTAAACTTAATTCGGTTTGTCCTTCGGAATTTCTTAACCTTAAACATTTCGAGTGGGGTCTATTTTTCTTTTTTTATTTTATTCCAATAAATAGATATAAGTACTTATCGGTGTTACGTTCATAATACATCTACAAAAATATACGTGTAGATGAAAATGACACTTCACATCAAAGTATTTCGAATTTAATTCCGGGCCATTGTTTTTATTCTTCCTTGCCAATGGGCGGAAAATCAAAAGATTTACTATCCGAATATATCCGTTATCGTCCATTGTTTTCGCGATCCTGTTTCGTGGTCTCAAAAGGGAGCTAAGTAGTGAAGAATAAAAGAAGTTGCTTGACTGTTTTCCTTGTTTACGTTTTGGTTCGCATTCGCACGCTTTGCGCAAATTCACTGAGATACGACTAATCCTCGAAACGTTATTTACTTGGCTACTTATGTTGTCCTATATCTAAAGCTAGTTCCAGTGTTTCTTATCTTTCTAATTATTTTTCTAGGTTTATATCTTAACGATAAATAAGATTTTTATTTTATAAAATGCGGTATTTTAAAAATAAATACAATATTATTATATTATCAATGATTGTTGACACAAATTTATTTGATACTAGCTTTTACCCTTGACTTCGTCTGCGTGACCAGGATATGTTCTTGGCCGTGATAAATATAGCCTTCTCCATTCTACATTGTACGTGTATTCCAAATTTCATTATGACACTATGCAGTTAAGGCACTGTAAAGTGACAAACACTCTTTCAATGCTAAATTTGTTTATTTATTTCATATTACTTTCTTGCAATATACAATTATCTCTGTTCAAATATTTTTCACTTCCGCGCGGTCCTTCTTGGAAATTATCGTACCAGATGAAATCACCACGATGATGGATTAACCGATCTGCCTTTTCATTCCTCACTGGTGCTCCGTTGGCATATATCGTTAGCGCAGGCGGGGTTAACATTTTATTATTATCTATTAAAGTTGCTAAGATTGTATATTACATGGAATCGAATCGATAGTAGAAAGCTGTAACTGCATTTAGAATCTTCCAAAACTACTCTGACCTAATCCCTTTCTTTCTCTCTGATTTCTCCCTTATTACTAAGTATTTTTGATTTAACAATTCGTCTCCATCTATTACGTCGCTTACCCGCACTCACAGCCTAATAGAAATTATTTTGTAGAGGTTCCCTTTATTATTCGAGCAGTCCATCTTGTCAACAAGTCTCCTTAAGCTCTTTTATATCTTCGATGTTACAAAAAATAATCAGTTTTTCTAGAGTTTCATCTCATCTCCCCTGTGAGTACAATGAAAGAAAGATATGGTTTAATTTTTTGCCTTTCAGTCTCTGTCTTAGTTTAATTTTTTCGTTTTATATTTCGTTCCGTACGAAAGAATATTTTTGACCAACTTTAAAAAAGGAATTTTTATATTCGGTCACAGTTACTTTTTTATGCTTGTTATCTCAGAACCGATTCGGAAAATTATTTATATATTTTTATTTAAAAGTTTTAAATTTATTGTACAGAATTAATTGACTTCGATTTAGTGGGTTGACTTTTAAATAAAAATAATAGGTTCATGGTTGTGATTAAGCTTTATTAAGTTTTTAGCGTTTTTTTGTGGAGCAAAATGTACTTATAAATAATAAACAAAAAATTAAAATAATGCTTATACTTGTTGTATCTTAATTTTTATAAAAGTAGTACAACTAACTAAAGTTTCTCTTTAATTAAAAATTTCTTCTTCAACCTTTTACAAATAATTTGAAATTAAATCACTACTTAAAAAGTAAATAGTTCGATTCAGCTTTTTGGAACTTTTAATTTAACTTGTAAAGTCTTTAAATAGTCACCGTTTTTGAAACACATCGTTAGGAATGGCAATAAAGTTATTGTCTGTTATTATCAACATATCATTAGTAAGAAATCAGTATCATTACACTCTTGCACTGAATTCTAGTTTAATATTTAGTACAATGTAGTCAATAATAACAAAATACCTCAAATACAATAATAGTCCTGAACCTAATTTTTATAAAAAAAATAAAGGCAATATTTTTTTTCTTTTACAGGTACAAACAGCGTTACAAGAGTCATAACAATCAATGATACGAAACAATAATTTTGATCAGTGTTCAGTTTCTAATTTCAAAATTATGCTTCGTTTCTCGCCATCTAAGTATAGTGGACTGAGTTTCGTATGAGAGAAAACGTGTTGTGCCAACATGGCGCGGACAGCAGGCCTGCTCTTCGTGCTATGCGTGGCAATGTTCCCGTTACACCGAGCTGATAATCTTGGTAAGTTTACGTTCAGATTATCCCTACGCTATACGTATTATTTATAATTTCAGTATGTATACGTTGGCTCAATATATGCCAATGTATCAACCGTTAACTATCCACTGCTGAATAAGAGGGGTTTTTTTCCAGTGGCTGCCACGCTTGACAAGCGGGTTGCCAATGGCAGTTCGGCTTTTGATGATATTTTAAGAGGGACGCTGCTGTCTATCCCTCAGTCATAAAATTCCTTATTTGCCTCTTACGACACCCACGGGAAAGGAAGGGGTGGCCTATTCTATGCCGGAATCTACACGACACATTGGTCCAATATATACTCACAATAACCGCATCGTACATAATCGACATTAACCATGCCTAGTCCAGATATCTTCGGAATTTGAATTTGTTCATGGTTCTGTTCATGTCCATAGGCAACAGTTATAGCTGTAACCGTGAGTTGTTCAGCTTCATCAGGTAGGCCGTTAACTTATTTGTAATAATTCTACGTAGATAACAAAACTTAACTAAAAGCATACAATACAAAAGACATACTCCTATAACAAATTAGGTAAATTCAGATAGGCACAATCTATACAGATACAAAGTAAAATAATCCTAATATTTTATCTCTTAGAATACCTTCATAAGATCTTCTAGGCAATAATAAATTTCCCTAAGTAATGAAAACTAATAAACGAATAAATAAACTATAGATATAAAGAGAATGAAAGATATATTTATTATATCTTTCATTATCTTTTCATCTATAGTTTGTAATATTATTAAGTTTAAATATAAGCAATTAAATTAGTTTAATATTAAATAAAGTATAATAAAACTAAAATATTTTTATCATCCATTTCTAAAGGTAGTGAGTGTACTCACTTCAATATTTTCAAACGTCTCGCTTCTAAATTCAAAATTCAATGCATGTTATGAGAAATGAAAGGATGCTGCAGTTGTAAAATAAGATTATACGAATGTTTTAATTAAAATCCAGGTTCGACATTTATGTTAATATTAAAACGTGTGCAAAACAGTATTTAGTATTGCACTGCAGAATATTATTATGCTTGCTATTTCATTATGAATGTACCTACTAAATAAATCCTTTACAAACTATTGCAAAAGCAAAACACGTACAGTTTTAGTTGGAATACACTCTTGTCTATGAATTTTCCGATTAATTTGATAATATATTAGTTTGGATTTTACATTCACTTGAGATTAAAATAATGTTTATTTATAATATTTGGTAATGAACAAATGTTTATATAGGTATTAAATATTTTATATAATGCAAGTTTACGGCCCTCCTAATAAAAAAATTGAAGATTATGCCCCTCAAAAAAAAAAATATTCAATTGTGATAAAACCGGTTATGTTGATCTAATAACTAAACTACTGAACTGATTTGGGTGAAATTTCTATTGGATCAATCTGTAAGCAAATCTTTTTAGATAAAAAAGAATTTTCCAAATCGGTTTAGAAGATATAAGGTAAGATAGAAGGAAGGAGGGGAAGAGGGAGACCGACATTACATTAGGCAGATCAAAGTTGGTGTCGTGTCGTATGAAGAGGTGAAGAGACTCGCTGAAAATCGTAGTGAGTGGCAAGAGCTCCACCGACAAGAGCGCAGCTCTTAAATAGGATAGATAGATAGGTTTAGAACTGACGTAGCTATGAGGTAAGAAACATAAAAAAAAATACAACCGAATTGAGAATTTCCTTCCTTTGAAGTCGGTCAAAAATGGTAACCGTCACAAACCATCACTGTCACTCATGGTACATTTTCTACATTGCTATTCCTGAAGACTAATTATGGTACAGATATTTACTGAAATGCTTTCAAATTAAAACACTACCATTCAAATCTAGGTTAGAAATTTTAAGCCCAAGTTCTAATTATCTTCACAAATATCACATTTATAATATTAATAGAAATAGAATTATTATTGTAACATAATAACATATTAGCTACATATATAATACAATTATTTCATACCTATTCGTGTTTCAACCGTGAAGCAGTTGTGTTTGCATGGCTGTGTTTCGGTTTGAGGATGGAATATAGCAGTGAATTTACTGGGTACAGAGGAATAACACCTGAGTCCTCAGGAATGGCAACGCATGGGGGGTATCATGGGCGAGACAGTATACTCTGTTATGTCCATGGTACTGCTCATGTCTATAGGCGACGGTTACCACTTTCCATCAGGTGGGCCGTTAGTTTGTTTGGCATTCTAAGTTATATGAAAAAAACCAATTTGAAAGAAAAACTGCTTAGAAAAAAGCAACTTCAAAATAATTCTTTATTTACCAATATTTAAAAATAAACACATAGGTTTCCATCATCTACGCTAAAGGTTTTTTTAAAACAGCGTCTCACAAATTTAGGTGTAAAAGGGTTGTCCCGCCTGTACCTTTTTTTAGGCTATTGTTACTTTTTTCAGTCCCGTTATTAAATATTATTATTATTTATGAACTAGGTGTATACTGCGGCGTCGCCCGCATGGAACTCGTTATCTTCCATCTCGTGGAAGTTTCGAGAAATATTTTGTCTTTATACTTTATCTATATTACTGAAGATAAAGCGTTTTGTGCTGTTCGTTGAAAAAGAGATTAGGTTGAATAATTTGTGGGAGTTAAGAAGTAATGAAAGAAACCGCATAAAGAATTTATAGAGGTATATTTGATAAGAAACATATAGAATTCCCGTGTGGTCCCGTATTGGAATAGGCCACCCCTTTCTTTCCTGTGAGTGTCATAAGAGGCGACTAAGAGAAGGCGAAGGATGAGCAGCAGCATTGCTCTTAAAATATCTTCAAAGCTTAACTGCGGTTGCCAATCTGCCTGCCAAGCACGGCAACTATCGATAAAACTGCTCAAGGGCTTGTGTTCAACAGTGGACAGTTAAGTTTGATGTGATGATACAGAAATAGGGAAATGAATAGAAAAATCGAAAATTGACGGATGTAAGGAAGAACGATAATTAAAAATAACAGAAAGCGAAATATATAAAAAAAGATTTATGTCAACAAATAAGTATTACAGAATAATAAGATTTGGATTTTAAGCGGCTTCTGAAAGCAGAAGATTCTTAATTTATTGTAGTATACATATATATTGCATTTTTTTTGTAGCTATATTATGGGATTTCATCGCCAATTCGGAACAGAAATTATTTTTTTTAAATAGAAAGGAGATAGTTCTTCTATATTTGTTTCGTATTGATATTTTGAAAACAGAATCTGTAGATTTTTTTGCGAAAAAAAATTAGTAAAAATGTTTACTTGGCATTACACCATTCCGCGTTCTGAATTCCAATATTTTTAATGTAATGTATGTCAAAATTGAATTCACTTTGTTGTGACTTTGCTAGCTGCGTAGAAAGAGTGTATTCATAATTTGTGTCTAGCTGTGATTATTTTAACGTCTTGAATTGAAGCCTTAATTAATGCAAATGAGAATTCGCAGAGATATAGTTTATGGCCTATATATAAACATGGCATGTCATTAAATCATTAATAAGGGTGGAAGTAATGTGACGTTATCAATTACTTCACTTCTATTAAATGTGTCGCGTATAGGTAAACAAAGGGGTTAATTCTGCTGCTCTAATGATTCTGTTTGATTAAAACTAAAATTTCAATTTGATATTACAGTAAAATTATTATTTACGTATGAGTGTAAATAAGATTTTTAATCGAATCAAAAGTGCTTGGCGTTTAGTTCTTGTTGGTGTGTAACATAATATTTGTATATATTTGTTATATGTCTTTTTCTCAATGTCCTCTACCCAAAGGTTGTCTGGAAGAGATTGCTTAGCGATAAGGCCGCCTTTTGTATCACTTCTCATTAATATTTACTGTATTTGTTATTTCTCTTTTTACTTGGTGCAATAAAGTGTAAATAAATAAAATAAATAAATAAAATATATTTACTTTTTTTTCCTCATTTCACAGAAATCTCCTCTGAAATGAGGAAAAAGACTCAAGCTGCGGAATGAGCTCTCTACCGAGGTTTTCCCTAGAGTTTACAATACGAGGTCCTTCAAAAAGAGCGTACGAGTATTAAGGTTTCTTCTGAGTCGACGATTTAATACGTGATATCCTTGGTAGTACAGGCATTCAGCCATTCATTGCCTATAATAACCGTTTACTTTTGAAAGCTTATTTGCTACATTTTTGTTTTTTCAACCGACTTTATACAGAAGGTTCTCAATTCGATTGTTGTTATTTTATATTTGTTACCTCATAACTCCGTCAGTGCTAAACCGATTTGATTCAACTCAACCAACTCATTGAGCACGTCCAAATGGCTATAGATTCCCTGCTTGAGCAGATTCCTTCCGCTGAAGTCGTGATTGTTGGCGACTTTAATGCCCACCATGCCGAATGGCTTGGTTCGCGTACAACCGACTATGCGGGAAGATCTGTTCATGACTTTGCTTTGGCTTATGGTCTGACACAGCTTGTTTCCTCGCCTACGCGAATCCCTGATGTGTTGGACCATTCACCTTCACTGCTGGATCTTCTGCTGACCACCCACCCAGACAACTATGTGATCTCCGTCGAAGCCCCGCTTGGATCGTCGGATCACTGTTTGGTGCGGAGCGAAGTGCCTCTTACGAGTCCGACTCCACCTCGTTCTACGGGTAGACGTCGCATTTGGCACTACAGGTCGGCAGATTGGGATGAGATGCGGATTTTTTTTGCATCTTACCCATGGAGGCAGGTTTGCTTCACACTGGATGATCCCGACGCCATTGCCGATTCCATTGCTGATGTGGTGCTTCAGGGAATGGAATTATTTATTCCTAACTCTGTGGTGCCCGTCGGCGGGAAATCCCAGCCCTGGTATGGAGCCTCCTGTAGAACAGCATCTCGTCTGAAACAGGAGTGCTTCCTAACCTGGGCTAAAGGTGTGGCGTCGCGAGATCCTAACACCAGTGCTCTTAAAAAGAAGTATAACTCTGCCTCTAGGTCTTTCAAAAGAGTTATAGCCACAGCGAAGTC